ATATATATGTATAAAATCTCTCTTTGCAATAATTATTTATAATAATTAATATAATAAGGACGTGTTATGATCAAATTATCCTTTTATTGGTTGTGAGATATTTTGTGTTTTTTTCTTAACAGATTTAACCAGCGCTTGTAATTCGGTCGATAGTTTTTCATTTGTTCTTGGCTTTTTAAATTGCTTATTCTGAAAGATTTGAAACAATATTTGTATAGATATATATGTATAAAACAATGTATAAACTGTTGCTAATGAAAATGTTTTCTACTTACATCTTCTGTATGTGCTTCGTTATTAGCTCTCCTCTTTAACTTTTCGCTAACTAAAGCTTCTGTACCCTTTGTCTTTCTATAATGTGGATCTGCAGGATCGATATTGAAATAATGTGATGTAAACAAAGCGGCGAATCTCGGATCTTTGACGTTAACTTCAAAATCGTCATCTTTTATTTCTTCTTGCACATTCTTTTTTTTGTTGAGACGTTTTCGTTTAGATTTCGACATGGTAGCATTTTCCTCAATTTGCTTCATATTGAAATGCTTTTTGCCGTCCTCGTCTTGATCCATCAAAAGTAATTCTAATTCGGCTCTACGTTGATTTTCTTCCTGTTCATTCGATGAATCCACACCATTAGCATCCTTATCTTTCTTTCCATTCTTATGGGATAATTTCCTGTTTTTAAATTCTTCTGCAAAATATTTCTCATTTATATCAACATCAGGTGGCAAAGAGTCTTCTGAATCGCTATTTTGACTTTCCTCTTTAAGCTTCTTTTCTTCTCTCTTAGCTTTCTTTTTCGCTTTGCGTTTCTCCAAATATTGCTCAAAAGGCGTGAGTTCTTCTTTATTTTTCATTCTCTCCTTGACCAATTTTTCAGCCTTTTCTTTGGCGCCTAAACCCCATGTAAATTCCAATTCAACATCCTTGTTCTTCTTTGCCTCTTCTTCTTCTTCAATAGATTTTAGTAAAGATTTATACTTTCCAATTGAATCATCATTTACTTCTGACTCCAAATTATCATTGTTTCTCTCAGTTATGTCTTCCTTTTCCTCTGTAAAATATAAAAATATTATACATTAAATATATATA